AAAAACAAATTGGAGAAGAAGATGAACAGTGCACGAGTCTGTTGAGTTTTTGCAAGATAGAGAGAAAGCTTGCTCTCTGCAGGTTATGGGTTGTCCTTTGTTGGGTAGGGGAAGGTTCAATTTATAGCTGCTGGAAATCGCCATTTTTCAAGAAGCCCTAATGGCTTCTACTTATTTTGGCTAAGTTTTTCTTCCTTTCTCCTCCTCTTCTCTGACTTCCCTTTCTTGGCAAAGATTGCTTCTGTCTATTTACATGATTTCAGGGGATTGGGGGGCTCAACATCCTCCTTTCCCGCGGCTGTGCAGTGGGAGCTTCTACTCTTGGTTTGCTGTTTTCTCTTCTTTCCTTTCCTCCGTTTTAACCAAATCCGACGAAAGAAAGGCAGGTGCAAATGTATGCTGGTCCAAGGGATGCTTCTGACAGCATGCGGGATGGTATTCATCGGTTCTTCGGATGTCTTTGGCTTGGGACTGGTTTCCAGCAGCTTTACTTAAGGAGCCTGCCATCTACTCCTTCACGTGTTCTCTGTTTTTCAAAAGGCTGAAGCTCTTGTGGGCTCTTTTGGTTTTTTTCTAAGGGCCCAGATGGCTTTCTAAGCAAATGGGCTTGTTGGGCTTCTTGATTTGGGCTTGTTATTTTTTTTGGTTGGGTTATCTCTTAGCTAGGTTATTTTGCTTGGCCTTTTGGGCTATTTTTCTCTCTTGTGCTTACCCACATGTTTGGGCCTAAGAAATGGGCTTGAGTCTCGAGGCTCCCAAGCAACCCGAGACTTTCCATTTCTCGGTCCATCAATGGGTCTCATGTTGATTTATCACCATCCATGCCACAACCCACTCAAGCAGGCCCCGGGTTTTTTGAGTGGCTTGGGCCCACCTAGGCTTGTAGCGTGGTTGGGTGAGAGATAACGGCATGGCATGTTGCTTGGCGTATTTTAATTTATCGCCCTTGGGAAGAATTGTTTTAATCTTAGCATGAGTTAATCATATTTTTATCGCGAATCATAGCATGATAATTTGTTTATTTAGCGCGGCATGTGGATTATAACTTGCATGTGATAGACCCTTTTTCCTTTCTTTTTCCTTATGGAATATTGTATCGGGCTGATAATTGCTTGGGCCCAATCCATGGATTTTTTGGGCCTCAACATTAACCCCCTTAATTATAAGGGTCATGAACAGGTGCTGGAATGGGCCGAATAATTAAAACCCAACCCAAAAAATCAGATTTGTATTTGTATAGAACTCTTCTTCTTCCCGCGTGCAAAATGACGGCGTGCCATGATTGGTCCCGGTGGTTATTTGCAGTTTCCAACGCCAACTGCCTTCCTCTTCTTATTTTATTATTTTCCTCCCTTTTCTTTCTCTTTTCTTGCACCAGACACCAATTTCTTCAATTTCTTTCTCTTTTCACGCTCCAGACCAAAACTTCCCTCTAGCTCTCCTCCCTTCGTTCTTCTTTGCTTCTCCTTGAATTCAAATCTAATGAAAGAGTGAAGTCAGGCCAAAATTATTTACCTCCAGCCGCTGAGAAGAAGACCCAAGTCGAACTCAACCCCGTCGTTCCATCTTTGTTTTGTCCGTCGCTGCTGGAAGGGCCGTGGATTTTCAAATCTCCCATTCTCTTTTCTCCTTGGTGCGTTCAAGGTCATCTCTTTGGGATTCCTAACGAGGTATGCCTTTTCTTGTTTTCCCCAAGATCTATTTGGTGAAATTTTGGTTGGGTTTCTCATACCCGTGGGTGTTTCCCTTCTTTTGACAGTAAACCCCCTTTTGACCCCTTTTGTCATTGTAATAGCGTGGATGCCTATAGGGTGATAGCACGGGAGTTCATGCGCCATTCTTCTGAGACTTACTCCGCCTTTGATTTTCTAGGGCTGCCGGAAAGGTACCCTTTTTTTTTTTTTCTTTTTTTGTTGTGGGAAGGAACTGTTGGCTTAAGTTTCTTCCCCCCCCCCCCCCCCTTTTATTCTGTCTCCGTCTTGCACGGGTTCCTCTTTTGTGTAAAAAAAAAGGTAATTCTTGGCATGACGTGCTTTTCCTTTGTTTATTTTTTTTTGTGCAGGTATATACATCTTGGGCATAGGTGAGGGTAGGTGCTGGAAACCCTTGACGTTTTGCTGCTGGAACCTTCAAACCCTTCAGTCTTCTAACTTAGATTTTGGTAAATAACTTTGCCAACTCTGGGTATTTTAGAATAGGTGTAGACGGATGCGTGGCCTAGGCTTTATTTCCTTGAGGACGTATGTCCGATCAATTGTCACTTGTGGAGAACAATTTTTTTTTTTTGACAGAGTGGATGTTTCGTATTGCCTGGTTGAATATTTACTTTTCATTTGGAGAAGGAACTTGCTTATCCTGCCACAGAGCAAAAACTCTTGTTTGCCATGAGCTTGAATTTTAAATTGCATGTTTACTCGGACGACCATAACCAGCCGTGCTTGATACATATCTTATGTGTGCTAATTCCATCTTGCTTCTTTCCGCTTTTCTATATGCAGGTACTTATTATGGCATTCGGTAATCCACCATTTATCATAAGGGATCATCTTTACTTCATAGATGACAGGATGAAGAGAGGGAGACCACCTCCTCTGCTTAAGGGTGCCGACGAGGATATAACTATTGATGAAGAACCAGCGCCAGAAGCTACTCCAGTGATCGACCCCGCATCTGTATCAAGGTGCTGCATAGAAAGGGGTCTGTTTCCGGCAGTTCCCTTGTTCTTTCAATTCTCACAGTGTGGTGTCCCGGGCCGAGGGGATGTGCGTCAACACGTGACGTCCTTCTTTTGGATGCGGCGCGGTTGTGTTGCTGTTGAGATGGTGGTGCTAGAGCGGCCGAGAAAAAGGGTCCTCCTCGTTCTTTCGGAGGCCGAGGACGAGGAGGAAGTCCCTCATGTGATTGTGAGTGAAACCCCTCTCGTGACCGTAAGTACTCCTCCTTGAGTTCTTTTTTACTCTTTTTTCAGGCCACGCCCTCCCCCTCTTTCTTTTCTGATAATCTGGTCCATTCCTCAGGGCCGAGGCAGCAGTTGCAGAGGTGCCAGCCACTGAGGAGGCCGCCGCGGACGTGCCAGACGACGAGGTCCTTGCCGTGGACCCGACGCGGGCCATCCCGGTGGAAATTCCTTCGATCGCCTCCGCCGTGCCTACCTTGGCCGTTACCACGCTCGTTGAGCCATTGCCGTCCGCCCCTCGTCGTCCAGGCGGCATCATGATCCGCTCGGTAAGCATTTTGTTTCTACTGTACCTTCGTTTTATTTTCAGAATTCCGCCACGTGCCTTTGACCGAATTTTTGCTTCCAGCCTCCCCGGTCGTCACTGTCGCTACCCGCGGTCGCTATAAGTATGCCCGCAGCGCCGCGGTCCCAGAGCTCGACCGCATTGACTGAGCTTGCAGCGGTCCAGGCTATAGCTACCAACGCGCCGAGCCTGCCGCCTGTCTACTCGACGATTCTGACCGAGCTGTGGTTGCAGAAGCTCCTGGCACGCCGTCGGCCGCTGAAGTGAGTGTTTAGATTTTCACCTTGTCACTTGCCATGTCCTAGTTGGTTGTTTCCCATTTTAACTCCCTTATTCCATTTTCAGGGAACCACCTCCTCCGATGATCTCGAGGAGTTATATGCCAGTCTTCACGAAGAAGGAGGCAGCTCGGCCTCGGCCCCTTTGGACGAGGACTTCAGGGCTGTCATCTA